ATGTTAGTGAAACAGAGACGCCGACCCTCGTCTACCCACATTGTATAACTATTGTACTACTATTATACATATATATGTATATATATTCTATTGTCTTTTATTTGCGTCAGTTTGTCCCTTTCGATCCCATTCAATTTTCGGGCGACAAGGAACTCGTATTATTATTCTTCTGGTCCATCTGCACGTAAGTCAATTGGAATACGACGTCTGTCTTGAAGACAAGTTAGGGATATCACGATACCTTTCGGCATGTATTACAGTCCTTCGCTGTCGATACGAAACTGTTATCTCTTATTGAGTCATATAGAATGAATGAAGAGTTCAAAGCGTTATAAACGCATTTATTTGGACGTCAGAAAGCGAAGGGTATTTGATATTGGATATATGCATCGGACTGGCTGGCATACGTATTGACCCACTGAAAATGTATTACCTAGATCTAAGCTTGAGTCAAAGAGCTCTGACTTTCGACTTCCACAGATAGTCGGAGAGTGGCAGGCAGATAAGAGCTTGTGAAAATGTACGTATATATAGATAGGTTTTAATTTTCGTAATTTATATACATGTGTAGTATTCCATCATGTTTTGATTGTAACGATACGCTGTAGAGAGATCCATGTTCGGCTGTGGCGAGTGCTATCGATGACTAGTTAGGCCTCGAATATAATAGTGCTGATGTGTCGAAGGACTCTCAGTTCTATTTCTGATGCATGTGGGCAGGAATTACACTAATGCACGACACTGATGAGATAACTTTTGGGTATGCCCGCGCGCGAGATGCCCAATTATGAGCCGGCAAGGGCGACGAAACGACACCGATAACGATAACGATGGCGATAACGATAACGATAATACGCATTCACATCCCCCGATTTTCACGATCCGCTACTCCGGTGGCGTGGCGTGGCGTTTGCTGCTGCATTTGTATCTAATTTTGTGCCTGGCATTCAAAGAAAGACGAACCCCGAGCCAATTTCCTTCTTTACAGTTCTATTCTTTTTTTGTGTACTCTAAATTTTTTCGTCGTCGTCGCCGTCGTCGTTTGCTGTTGTTTTACTTATTATAAATTTTGCGATTATTTTTTTGTCTTTCTTTTTGTGTTTTGTTTTTAGTGCCGTGAAATATTTCAAGCCATTTTTTCCGGACTGTTTGCGTTCAGTAGCTGAGATCCTGCGCACGTTTTGTTTCTTATCTGTGTGCTTCTGTGCGTGTGAGTTGTGTGCGTGTGAGTTGTGTGCGTGTGTATGTGTCCGTGAGAGTGCGACTGTGTGCGAGTGCTCTGTGCGTCTGCGACTGCAGCGCGTGTTTGTGTGTGCACTGCGTGCTGAGCGTGTCCTTGGTCCTTGTTTCGCCACCGCACTCGCCCAACCACATCGGCATGCGCATACTTCACGACTGCCCGACTCCGACTGCAGCGAACCAATGAAGACGAACCAACAGCCGAGAGACACAACCAGAGCGAAGCGTCATTCGCTTCCTATTCTACAACTCGGCTCTGCATACTGGATTATGTTACAATTGCTTTTGCTTCTGCTGCTGTGGCAGCGACAGCGACAGCGACTGCCGCTACTGCTGTTATATTCATTAAAGGCAGTGGGGGTGGGGGTGGGTGGGCTGCTACAAAAGTTGTGGTGGGCAGTTGGCTTCGCCTTCTTTTGGATTGGCGCTAAATGCTTAAGCCCACGACTTATGGTCAGACACTGTCTCTCGAAGTGCGGGGGAGCGGGTGTAGGAGTGTCTGTGCCTGGGTGTGTCTGTGTATGCTATAGCAAAATACAATCTTTTCAATTTAGCGCATCGCTATGTCTCCCATTTATCCCGAAACCTGGATAGAGAACTGGACATGCGTTAGTTTAATTGTTAAGTTATATCTTTTGATACAAGCGGAGCTTGTGCAATTAATAATATACGCGAAGTTCCATAAAAGTGGACTTCAATCGATATCACATTTCGACATGGACGTCAAAATTTCATTTTTTGCCCTTTATCTGTTATATGAATACTTTGCCCCGACATCAGAGCAATATTTGTATACAGAGCGCGGTTTACTGTTACTGGCACGCAGTCAGAAATGACAGCCCACGCAAACACACCACACTACACCACACCACACCAGACAACGCCACACACCACATCAGCCAGAGAGAGAGTGAGAAAGAGTTAGTGAGAGAGAGAGGAGAATGCACCAAACATGAAGTCGATGCCCGCCAATCAGCACTAAGACCAAGATGTGCCTAGCACCAATCACAGCGAACAGTTGACGTTTCTCGTTTCTACCACTTAAGCACTTGCCGCTCTCTGTGTTGTATTTCTTTATCTTTCCATCTCGCTTGCGCATCCAACGTTCACGCTTTCTTGTGATTGCTTGTTTCTGTTTTCGTTTCTGTTTTCGTTTCTGATTCTGTTTCTGTACGTGTGCGTGCGTGTGCTTTGTGATTGTGTGTGCTAGTGTGTGTGCTTGGGGGCTACGCGATATACTAGAAATGATTGCCTTTTCGTATTCTATGAGCACGTATGATGATGACATCAAGTTGTCACATAAAGACAAAGTAATTATGAGGGCGACAAATATATTAACAAATGGCTTTCTCCCACATTCATTCATAGCTATATCGACACATACATATGTATGTATATACATTTATGCCAGTCGAATCATTCTAGTGATACTGGTGTATATATCATATATACATATATCCGTTCTCGCATTGTTCAGTTCTCAGTTTATACATAGCCGTATCACGAGACTAACATCTGTGCCTATCGAAGGCGCGATAGCACATTTGGTTCAAGATTATATTCAGCGTTTGACAGATGAATAGGACATTATTTAATACATATTGCAATATATAAATAAAAGTGTAAATGATCTCTAGCTCGACATGCAATTTGGAATCCCTCGTTGCCTACTATTACTATTACTATTACTCCCCCAGGGGTATGACAAATCGGAAAAGCCTCTATCTCCTATTCCAGAAAGGCGATTCACACATCCACACGGGCCACACATTGACAATTAACGGGGAATCTTCCATGGTTTTCGAATCACACATTCAACCAATTTCAAGCGGAATTTGATGACCTTTCAAACTAGAGACTTCCCAATCCGAATGAAAAAGCCTGTGTGGGGATATGTTCTTCATGGCTCTAGCTTAACTCTGCTGCCTGGCAGTGTGATGGAATCGCTAATAACGTGACCAGATGTTACCTCGCTTCGAATTCCCAATTGTGTGTTCAAATGTTATGAGATACACCGCAGTCGACCTTGCTGCTTCCCCCAATCTGTGCTCATTTTGTTTTGACAAATCACTTTCAACTTATGTTTTGACTTTCGAGCAACATCGCTGGGGATTTGTTTTAATTATTATGGCTCTTTGCATTTGCCTTTACCCCCACTTCTACCCCTACCTCCAGCTCTACCTTTGCATTGCTTCTGCCATCGGTTTTGCCCTCTCTCTTCGCGTCTGCTTCTGCTTTTACAATTAAAGTCGAATGACGTTTCGCACTGGGACTTATCTATCCAAATCAAAACTGCAATTACAATAACCATTACATAATTTGCATAATTCGAAATCCGAATACATATATATACATATGTCTATGTGTGCCTTTATATGGAGCAGGCCTTGAGCACTTTTTTTTTGGGCGCACTGCGTCAGGTCTTTGATTGGAATCTAAGTTTGGATTTGGGTAACTATACGATGAAAGCTGATATTGTCTATTAAGATCACGTTGAGATAATCCAGCAGTCGACAATGACCGACTAACAGATACTCTGAACAGCGTTCCATTGTGATGAACCATCGCGAAATGAATTAAACTCTTCTGTCTCACGCTTGCCTCCATGCGAACGGACGGACGGAGAGACGAACCGACGGGCGAACTGACGAGAATGTTGCCAACTCCAATTAATTAAGTAGCGTACACGGATCTACATGGTTTGAGAGACATCAGTCCATCACTGGACTGAAGTTCAATAGGGTTTCTTATTATTCACATCTTTCCCATTGGCAATGAGCTCAGGCGAAAGAAATACGCGTTAAATAGGAGTAGAATTCGATCCATTCCCATGTTGATTTCTTTCGAAGAGGAAGGAAACCGGATTTGGGATCTTGCGGCTTTTTAACTTGAGCAAACGCGGCAAAGAGTCAAGAGTAATGTGGAATAAGTGAAGACTGAGGAGTGGAGAGGAAAGATGGAAGAGGGAGAGGGAAGAGGGAAGAGGGAAGGGGGAAAGTTTTTTGCACTCGTGCGGTTATTAGCTTAGCCTTATTGCCAACAGTAGAATGTATTTATTTGTTCTGTGTTCTCCTTATTCTTGCACTCGTTTCCGCTCCTCTGCCGAAGCACGAAGTCCAAAATTGTAATGCATACTCATGGAGCTGAGAGTAGGCCTCTGGTCTCTGGCCAGAGCTCTGGCGAAGGTTGCTTGATAGCCATGTGAAGGCTAACAAAAATATTGCCCGCAACCCACAACCGGCGGATGCACAGATACAGATACAGATTCAGATACATAGATTCAGATACATATACCTGTAGAGCTACAGGTGTATATTCACTTATCCAATACCAACGCAGAGGATTACAGAGAAAAGTGCATTTCGATTCGGAATTAAAACCTGACAATCCCAGCGATCTAGAGTTGAAATTGAAACTAAAAACGCCTTTGTGGTCGAGCTCTGCGTTTTTTTCAATTAAACACGTAAGTTACCTGAGACATTTTGCGCCTAACCACAAATGCGATTAGCCCATTCCCTCACCTCACTTCACCACACTTCAACTCAGCTCAGCTCAGCTGCGTCAATCAGATGCGGACGCCAGGGAAGCTTTCCAATGTCCAGTTAGTTTTGATTATTTGTCACGAGAGATAATCGATAGCCTACTTAAATGTGCCTGGGAATCTTGTCGACATTTACATACCGGCTGCACTTGAATCTGTCCGTCAGTCAATGAGTATTAGGTGACAAGCTCACCTGCGAACCTAATACACCCTTACTTACCATCGCCTGAAATGCTGCCTTGCGAGCTGTGCGAATCTTCTGAAATGCAAAGAGGAAGAATAAGAGATGAATCACAGATATATTATTATGTGTATTTTTATTACATATATATATTACTATATATAAAATACGTTGCTCAAATCCAAATTGTGAATGATTCTTTAAAATATAATATTAATATTAAAATGTTTAAAAAACAAGTAAGAACGTTGCAGTCGGGCATTACCGACTGCCGAATACTTACTTATTCACATCTCATCAGCAATTTAGCAGCTAAATTTAGCTTTAATATTGTAGAAAAGTATGTGTTTTAAATTTCAAATTTCTCTAGCTTCAATAGCGCCGAAATAAACTGATTTCATACGGACAGACGGACAGTCGGACAGACGGACGGACAGCAAGACGGACATTGCACAAAACCACAAATTGAAATAGCTATTGCTCGAAGGGTTCAGGGGATCTCGTAGTCGAGCAGTCTCGACTAGAGCTTTCTTACATGTTTTACCAGTTCCTAGAACAAGCTATAAGTAACGTAACTGCTAAACTAGATACTACCCTGAACCAAACTAATAAAATGCACATTTAGTATGGATAAGATTTCAATTTCGGTGTATTTAAAAGTATAAATGAAATGGGAAACTCATTTAATTGAATATATAAATATTTTTAAACAATTAAAAAATTAACATCCGTTGCGGGCTCTGGGTTTGAACCCGCGACTCTTATATCTTCTGAAATCGACGCGTTCAAACATACGGACAGACGGACAGGGCCAAATCAACTCGGCTCGTCGCCCTGATCAAGAATATATATAATTTGTGGGGTCTGCCACGCCTCCTTCTGCCTGTTACATACATTTCAAGAAAACCATTGTACCCTGATTTCCCATTTTCAAAGGGTTCAGGGTATAAAAATATGACAATTACAGGTTATTTTTCAGTGTTCTAGTTTTAAAACTGTAAAGATACAGTTTTACCCAATTTGCCACGCCCACGCATTGGTCGCAGATATATATATCTGATTTCTGACATGTTGGCGGATCGGGAAAGCACGATAAATAGAGGGTATTACGAGAATATGTTCTAGCTACGTGTAAATATAATTCACCTTTAGGCAGTATAGTTATTACCTGCATTATTTTGAGCATCATTCATGGCTGATATCCATTCGACATTTCCCTGTGAGTGAGCCAGAAAACTGCTTGCAGATAGAGTCGGGGGAGATTCCTGTACGGCGGCTGGCGTGGACAGTCCTCTCACCAAGCCATTCGAGTATTCGTCATACTTTTGCACTGCAATCGCATAGTGATACATTGGGATGGGTAAAATCAGATAGGTCTATTCTCGGCGGGTGGACGTGCCGGACTAAGAGATACCCTGACACTCTGGCTCTGCTACTTAGACTTTTGATAACTCGATAACGATTTCAGTCGGAAACTGTCGTCTATCGTGGTCGACAATATCGACTTGTTAGGGAAAGAGGAGGTTTTCTGCTAGGTCTGAGGTTATCTTGCATTTAGAGATAATTTCAATTCTGAGTTGCGTCCAGACTTCCAGTCGTCCAGTCTTCTAGTCAATCCACAGCGCATTCCAGTTGCAATTTTATTGCGCAATCCGTGACTAAACTTTTTTTGTTTTGTTTTATTGCTTTCTTTTTTGGTTTTTATACCCTGAACCCATTGAAAATGGAAAATCAGGGTATAATGGTTTTGTTTGTTTTTTTTTTTGTTTTTTTTTTTTTTTTTTATTTAATTCGTAAATGAAAACTCAGCAGGAGAACAATGTCTTTTCGGGTGCATGTGCTCTACTCTTTTCGACCAGAACACTTGCCTTTCGGACGAGTGACTCTTCCTCCCAGTACCCCTGTCCTAGTTGCAGGCTTAGGCTATTGTTCTTGAGCAATATTTGTGCTCGAATTCCTTCAGTGCCCCTATACGTTCCTCCTCCTTTCGGCTGAGGCTCCTAAATAGACCCCAATGTTAGCTTTTTTGTATACACTCGCTCATCTCAAAGCGGGTATATACGGATTACCTGCCTGGGCACTTGGGACTCGGATCACAAGGGACTGGCGGACGGCTTTTATTTGTTTGAGACTTTGAGTAAATAGAAGTCTGTCTCAGCGTGGATCTGGGCCCAAACAGTCGATAGTACCCGACATGAGCTTCCCTTACCTTTGCCGTGGAGTCTTTTCGAAACTTTGATATGTAAATGTAATCTTTTGTTTGGCTGGAATCGAATCGATTAGTATAATCACACACTCCTAGAGAGAGATTGAGTGATAGAAAGAGGGAGAGAGAGAGAAGCACATTGACCTATTGCAATCCATTGCCAATAATGTTGCTGTTGTTGATTCTCATAAAATGATTCATTTTGAAATCAGTTTAAATTTCATTAAAGAATTTATTTCAGTTCTGCTCTCTGATCTACAAATTTCCTCCTTTCTTTCTCTTTTCTCAGACCCTAATCATTTATCTTCCCTTCTCTCTCATTCGTGTCACATTTCGTAAATATGCGTAAGTATGTGTGGGTGTGTGCATGGGGTACTACGTGTGCTTTTGTGTGTGTGTGCGTAATGTGTGTTGCTTGACAGGGTATGTGCTAGCCGAGCTTGCCTCCAGCCGCACTCTCCCCAATTCGCACCCTCCGCTTACCCCGCCTCAACTTACCCTTGGACTTGTCATCCAATTGCGCTGAGGTATATATTTGCTGATGCTGATTCTGATTCTGATTCTGATGTACTGTGCTGTGCTGCTCGCCAGGCGCAGAGCTTTGGAGTGAGTGCAAAGTTGATGACGCGCTGCTCATCTGCTGTGGTAGATGATGTTGCTGTTGATGCTGCTGCTGTTGATGCTGCTGCTGCTGCTGCTGCTGTTGCAGCTGCTGCTCTTGCTGTTGCTGCTGCTGCTGCTGCTGTTGCTGTTGCTGTTGCTGCTGTTGTTGGCTGCTGCACAGCGACAGGGGCTGAGCTTGTGATTGGGATTGGATAATATGGTGTTGGTGCGTATGCTGATGCTGAGGCTGCGTCTGATGCTGATGTGGATGCAGATGTGGATGCAGATGCGGATGCGGATGCGGATGCGGATGCGGATGCGAAAGCTGATGTACTTGGATCGGCGAAAGTGCCGCTAGCCCATGGCTAAGATGTGGCGACGTCTGCATTTCCATTATACGCATGTCATTAATACCTGAAAGAGCGAACGAAGAAACGTTTTGGCATCAGTAACTCAGCTTCTTGAGCTTTGTCTCTTCTTGATCTGCGGATCGGCTCATCTGCTTTTCACTTTCTATCCTATATCCTATTTCCCGCACGTGCACAATCCATCTCTGGGATTGATTCGCACAGGCCTAGCCGAAAAACAGCTGAATGAACACCACTGGCTTCTGCTATGCTGGCACCTGTGGAGTGTTGCATATCTCAGGATCTCCTAAATGCTGCGCTTCGGCCAAAGGCTAGACCAGCTTGTAGATATATGGGCTCTCAGAGACCGCTGTTCTATATATACATACACATAGATTTATATATTTTTATATATACATCTATATTTTCATAATTATAGATAACTAGACAAAACTGTGCTCTACTTAGAGCTCCGGTCGTCCAGGCAGCTGATGATGGAGATGCTTAGAACAGTTCAATGACCATGATCAGCAGCCACAAACAAAAAACGAGCTGCTATAAGGCAACGGACAAGCAGACAGACCGGCGGGGACGGCGAGCAGAACAAGATTGTAGTAGGCAGCGAAAGAATGGCAAAACGAGAAAGAATGTTTAAGTCTGGCGCTTCCGAGTACTCTGGGTGGGGTGCACGGCTGGCTGANATGTGGCGACGTCTGCATTTCCATTATACGCATGTCATTAATACCTGAAAGAGCGAACGAAGAAACGTTTTGGCATCAGTAACTCAGCTTCTTGAGCTTTGTCTCTTCTTGATCTGCGGATCGGCTCATCTGCTTTTCACTTTCTATCCTATATCCTATTTCCCGCACGTGCACAATCCATCTCTGGGATTGATTCGCACAGGCCTAGCCGAAAAACAGCTGAATGAACACCACTGGCTTCTGCTATGCTGGCACCTGTGGAGTGTTGCATATCTCAGGATCTCCTAAATGCTGCGCTTCGGCCAAAGGCTAGACCAGCTTGTAGATATATGGGCTCTCAGAGACCGCTGTTCTATATATACATACACATAGATTTATATATTTTTATATATACATCTATATTTTCATAATTATAGATAACTAGACAAAACTGTGCTCTACTTAGAGCTCCGGTCGTCCAGGCAGCTGATGATGGAGATGCTTAGAACAGTTCAATGACCATGATCAGCAGCCACAAACAAAAAACGAGCTGCTATAAGGCAACGGACAAGCAGACAGACCGGCGGGGACGGCGAGCAGAACAAGATTGTAGTAGGCAGCGAAAGAATGGCAAAACGAGAAAGAATGTTTAAGTCTGGCGCTTCCGAGTACTCTGGGTGGGGTGCACGGCTGGCTGATACCTTAAGCTGCGGCTGACTTCAGCCCAGATCTATTGGAAAGCCCCATCTAAGATTGCCAAAAATGTATAGCTGGGCGTAGATACCTTATTTTTAGTCAGAACGAGGTGACTACAAAATTTGGATGCTTACGCTCCAAAAATGTTAAAATTACAGGGTATTTTTCGATATTCCACGCCCCTAAAGAGGCATAACAATAAAGGAGGTTACTAGTAAATCAACTATCCACGCCTGAAGCTTCTAGGTATTATACTTAAGGAGATATACAACATATATCCGTTGAAGCTTTTTGCTCTTGGGTGGTCAGCCCGAGTAAATATACCAAAATTGAGAAGAAAGAACCATWACATTAGCCTACGTGCGAAATTTCAGCATTCTAGCTTTATTCAATTTGCCACGCCTCTAATGGGCGTAGATATATCCGCTATAGCTAGAAATCTTGGGTGCTCGATGCGGATCTACATTCCAAATTTCACCTTTCTAACTCTTCAATATATATGATTTTTAGTATATCGGAAAATGCATTTTCAGATTTGCCACGCCCCTACTGGGTGGATCGGGAATATACAATAAATCGGGATATACACGAGTATGTGTTCCAAATTTGCGGACAGACGGACAGTCGGACATTTCTCAAAACCAATATACTAATTCATTTCGTGAATGAGTATAACAAGTAAGAAAGCTCTAGTCGAGACTGCTCGACTACGAAATCCCCTGAATCGATGAATTGATATTTCAATAACTCTTCGCGTTTTTCTACTTACACAAGAACCACACACACACAGACACACATGCATAGGCATGCACGCATAGATCGTGATCATAACATTGAGATGAGTGCATGTGCCAAAGCACAAGTCTCTAGTATTTTCTCTAGTAATACGCCTCTTACAAGAATAATGGTGAAGGGTGGATAAAATACATATACATAAGTCTACATTTAAAGTTTAAAGACTCTAGCTCTAACACTTTAAGTCTTTAGCTCTTATATCTTCTGAGATTGACGCGTTCATACATACTGACTTCCCATTTTCAAAGGGTTCAGGGTATAAAAATAAATCTGATGTAGGCCACAATAACACTTGCCTTGATTTGTTTTACGTGGCGTGTACCCTATTGGCGGTTTACTACCACGTGTATCTTATTTCCTACAAAGTAGGGAATATACAGCCAGTTTGGATTGCGCCCCAAGCTAGCGCCCCCAAGGTTCCATCCGAAGATTCCCCCCTGAGGATTCCAAACAAATGTACATGGTTAGGATGTACATCCCGCCTTGGTAAGATGCGAAGCACCTAGCCAACTTCCACTGCTCAACGGGAACAGCACCGTGCTGGGATCCATATATAAAATACATGCTGCACATAGCCGGTAGGCCACAATAACATCGAAGTGTGTCAATTGAACGATGCTAATATACCGCTTGAATCGAATAAGAACATCAACACGCGGCAATCAGTAGCGCGGGCCGAGCGTACGTTTCAGTGGTAGCCAAGAGCAGTTATTGCTTATAGTTAACATATAAGAAAGTAAAAACGAGGCAAGCGACGAGGATGCTCCAGCATCATTTAATGAGATTGATCGTAATGAGAATATGATGATTGCCGCTAAGCTAAGCAGAAATCACAACAACCTAATTTAGCTAGCCGCCGGATCTATATCTATATCTATATCTATATCTATATCTATATCTATATCTATATCTATATCTATATCTATATCTATATCTATATCTATATCTATATCTATATCTATATCTATATCTATATCTATATCTATATCTATATCTATATATATCTCTCTCTCTCTCTCTGTCTACCTCACTGTGTGAGATGCAACAATGTAAATAAATGTAATAAAAATTGTCGCGCTCATTTCAGAGCAGCCGTTCTCCTATATTTCCCGCCTTGTTCTTTGGTACGAGCACGAGCTATGCAAGTGCCTTCGGTATAAGCGCGCGCTGTCGCGGGTTTTATGCACAGCTCACCTGTTGTTTGTTAATTGACCTTTTTAGGACTCGTCCTCTTCTAGAGCCAAGTGCATGTGCATGTTACATTCCTCTTTAGTGTTTGGTGTCCGGTGATTAAGGTTCGTCGGTCGGGGCTCGGGGCTCGGGGCTCGGGGCTCCGTATCAGTCTGTCTATGTAGTTAAATATATTTCTATCGCCTTCCCATATACTGAATGGTCGGAAACATCTGTTGACCATGAGCTAAAAAATAGTGTTACCCTGCATAATTTAATATCCATCTGCCAACTTCTTCATCATCCTCTATTTCTTTGTTTTCCGAATTTGTTTCTTTTAACTCAATTCTTGGTTGAACTTCAAGCCGAGATATCTATGTGTGTATAAAACTAGTTGAAGAATTTAACCATGAACCATACAGAACACGCTCTGCCGGCTCTGCCAGCTCTGCCTAAAGGTGGCGGGAAAATATAAAAACAAAAAATACAACACAAACTAAACAAAAAACAAAGCTAACAAGCTCCCAGCTCAAGACTTTTTACATAGTTCAAGTACAAATGAAGGACTGCTTCTTCCGAAAGAAACTGCAATCCACGACTAGAAAATACCGTTCTTTATGAACTGCACATATCGAACCGCCAAATCCTTCTGTATTTACTTGAGCTTCAAGAACTAAGCTATGTACAACTCCAGATGCAATAAATAGGATAACCAGAGATGGAGCTCTATTTGATAGCACTGGAATTCGCTAAGAAGCTCACGGCTCCATCCCCCTTTTTATCTCTCTCTCGTTCTCTCATTCGCTCGGTGTGGCTGTTTTACTCAGACCCGCTTAGATCACATTTTGGCCGCGTAATACATTCAGTTGTTGAAAATAAAAGTGGGAAAATAGAAACGTTTTTTCACACGAGTCGCGCGCATAATGGCGGCGACACTGAAGATGACGACGACCTAGCGCAACACGAGGCATACACATATCCACATACATATATATATATATGTATATACATACATAAATAAGCTTCACTAAGAAACGGGAAAACAAGCTCAAGGTCAGTAGCGTGGGTAAATTTTACAGATAGCTCGGCGTCATGTTAATACAAAGACACCTACAGCACTTGATGAGTGTATGTATACAACAGTTGAGGTCATTAGGCAGATGAAGCAGCAGGAAGAAGTGCACAGCTTAAGAACGGTTTTACTTTTGGATACTGCGAATCACTTCAGAAATTTTCAACACTTTTAATTTCACTGCATAAGAGGAATGTATAAGTGCTGCGTGTATAGATAACAGCTAGTCGGACTTGCCGACTTGATCCACCTTCTTCAATTTTCGATATATTAAATACACTTTGTATACAAGCACTTTTGCAATCAAAATGCTTCTGACTAATTTTATGGCAATTCAACTAACATTAGCAACTGTACCTGTTTCTTTATCTGCACAGATCTAAATCGAATAGTATGTTCACATTTACACGCACATACAATATCTATTATTAAATGCAGGTCTGACCAAAATTTGTACTAAAAATGGATCTTCAAAGATTTCACTTTTTACTTTTTATTCACTAAAACAAATGAGAAGCACGCAACTCAATCACTTACTGTTCTCAATTCATTTTACTTCAACTGAAGTTGGGTTTTAATTCAAATTATTCACTGTTCGGTAGCCAATTTGACTCTTATATTCACATTCTGAACGAGAGAGTACTAGCAGTAGAAGAAGAAGAAGAAGAAGAAAAAGTGGTGTTTGTTTCACTTAATTTGCAACCAGCGGCGATCGCGCCTTCTTTCCGCCAGGTGGATCGTAGACCGCGCTTAAAGAGTTCTTAGGTGAAACTGTTTGGCTGTTGAATGTGAATGGTCGGCGGAAGCAAGTCGAAGCCGCACTCTTCACTAGCTACTCTCGACGTGAACATACATATAAACTGACTTACACACGTGTGTGTGTGCGACATGCACTAGTGTATGTGCGTGAAAACTAGCCTGTTGAGTGAGAACTGCTTCGGCGCTCTGTCCATATATACAAGTGCATATCGGTAAGCATGTATTGGTGCATAAGCATTCGTCTGTCGTGTGTGTGTGTGTGTGAGTGTGTATTCTGAGCTGCTCTCTCAAAACCAGGCTTGAGCGCAAGAGACGACGGCTCGTGGGGCTTTACGGTTGGTCGGCTTCGTTTTCACTCAAGCGGGCCGACGACTAATCGGGAACGTTTGCCGTTGCTTTACCTGCTGCGCGAGCGGTTTTGTTGTTGCTGTCGCAGACGCAGTCGCTGTAGCTGTTTTTGTTGTTTTGTTTACTATTTTATTGTGCTTACACGATCAACAGAGGCGCGATTTCCGAGCTTGTACACGTACATGCACATTTATAAATGCGTGTTTCGTGTCTGTATGTGTGTGTATGTCTGTGTGTAGGGAGCTTAGAGAAATGCGTGTGGATATCTAAGTCGACAAGTTAATATGTACATATGTGTATGTATGTATAGCACACCAAGCCCGCCACATCCGCTGGACCTATGTATAAGCATAACCAAACATATGTACATACCAGTATATGTACATATATGACGTTATGTTTGTATAAAATATATGTAGGTATATGTGTATT